GAATCAAGCAAGCACATAAGCTGGCAGGACCGTACAAAACCACCTTTACATTACAAATAGACGTTGCTTGGCGAAACCAGACACCGCCAACTTCATACGAATGATTACTGAGGCGGTGCGACCATATTGTGTGAGTTCTAGGCAAGTTGATTGTGAGAACACCTACAGCCACTCACTCTGTTTGCCAGAACCACCACAGTACAAGCGCAGCAGTGACGTTAAACCACCAGTACACCTGGGCCTGCACGCCCCTTACTGCGCGCCACGCTTTTCTGAACAGCCAGGGCCGCACTTTTTTTCTATTTTGACTGGCGCCGCCAGCCATCGTGGTCCAGTAGGCCAAGCCTCTGAAATTGTCATAGGCTACGAGTTTCCTCTTCTGCAAGGCTGGGGCCGTGTACTGGCGGTTATGCGACTAAGTGTTTGCCGCAGTGTTTGCCGCTCACAAGGTTCAGGGGAGAAGGTTCACTGCTTGACAGAACCGATGACGGAGGTGGTTATGATGGATGGTGTCGGTGAGTCAGCGCCGACAGCACTCACTCAACCTGCCAGAGCCCCACCACGGTTATATACGCAGCAGCAACCCCACCTGATTTCACTCATGCCCCATGCATATGATGTACATCTGTCAGAGATGTAGATTTTCCTTGTACATACGACACATATCAACCCATTGCAGCATCGAATTAAAAAAAAAACACTGACCTGATCTCTGAGGAGAAGGCCATCAACCAGACCACATCAAGGACCAGCATACAGGATAGGAAACCCACATAAGCCCTCCCAAGCTGCTGGCTCCCGCTCTCAATTGCCACCAATGCAAATAATGCAAGCATTAGATTGGCGAGCAAAATGCCGGAGTACAAGGCACTCAACGACCCCACCAAACCGCATATGACCTGCCATGCAAATGTCAAATACAGAATGAAAATTCAATCAATCAGGCTCAAGAATGCACTGGAATAATTGATCAAAGCAACATCAGTACGGGAAATTAAAAAATATATTAATTAATTAATTAATTTATAAAATATTAATTAATAATAAATAAGACACAAAAGTGCTGCATTCGTGGAGACACAGATGCAAGGAAAATGAACAGAAGCGAGATGACAATCTTCAGATTGCACAATCACATTGAAAGCCAGACCGTATCACAGTGTTCAGAAAGCAGCATTGCACCAATATGACACCAATGGAGAATCGTAGCACTGAAAACCAATGTCAATGAGAGCTTGCTCTCGCCACCACCAACATATGTAACCAGGCCCTATCTCCCTACTTGGYGCTCGGCGCCCAGCCTACTCTCTACACAGCTACTACTAGCCTACTAATTGACAATGCAACTGTTGACGTCAGCAGCCTCCGAAGTACTTGAAGATGTCGCCCGTAGCAGACTATCGCCAATACCAGGTATGTGCCCTCACATCATCATCATCATCATCCTTCTCCCTCTCCCTCGTCTTACACCCACGTCTTCCTTTCATACACCCGAAGACCACCCTGCGCCTCACTGTACATCCAAGCCCACCAGCTATGGAGGCTGGGCTATGGCGCTGCCATCAGCACCGTCCTCCTCCTTGCACGACCGCATGTGCTTGCACTTCGCTTCTCAGCGCTAGCAGCAGCCCACGAGCTTCAGCTCCAGCAGCGCTCCCGCCAGCATGCGAGTGCCCGAATAATCCGCCAGGCAGCGAGCTCTTTCCTATATGGAAAAGAGCTGGCCTGCCTTCGCAGCCTGGCTGGCCTGGGCCTGGGCCCAGAAGCTTCCGGTAGGCCCCAGGATGCTGCGCCTCTGGTGCAGCTACTGGGCCTCATTCGGTTGGGCCTCCCAACTGTCTGTGTATGAGGCTGCGAATCACGCCCAGGGCCTGTGCTTTCGGAAGAGCCTGGAAGGCCGTGGAATTTCCTTGCTGCTCCGCCTGTGTTTCTCAACCAACTGGCGCGACGAAACTGCCTGGACCCCAAATACGAATTTGACAGCTTAGGGCCTCTCGGGAATTGTTAGGCCCGCCTTCACTTAGGGCGGGCACATTTGCATCAGGGGCCCCCTTAGGCCTGCCGTGGACTCAGATCATCGCACAGAGATAAGGAGGGATTGTAAAGAACCCCAGGTCACAGTGCTCGAAGTTCGAGACGTTCTACTAGCATCCTCACCCGAATAGAAAGCCTGGTCATTATCACTGAATCTAGACTGACAGGTGCCCCAAATACAGCTATAGTGACCGGACTGACAGGTGCCCCAAATACAGCTATAGTGACCGGGCGTGGGCGTTCTATTCCGGTGAAGATGGTAAGAAAGATGGAAAGAAATGCTGACCAAGAAAACTGTGTTTGAATATTCTGCAAAAGTCATGTCCTTCTCTTTCTTTCTTTTTTTCTATTTTCTATTTGTAATATTATATACGTTATATTCATTTATAATGCCCGGGCGTTATCTTCGGTAAATTGGTGGCAACTTCGGCTGGGGTCCGAAATTCAAAAAAAACAAAAGAAAAAACAAAAATTCAAAAAAAAAAAAAAGAAACGTTGTCTAGAATTGCAATGCAACCAACTTTTGGCCGAGGGTCACTTTAGAATTCCTTACAAATTCGGAAATAAAAAAGAAAAAACAAAAATTCAAACCAAAACATAACCCTTGGAACTTGGAAGTCGACTCCCCCCCCATTTACAACTCCCCCCCCATTTACAACCCACTCTTCAAGGCACTCTGCCATGGCACATTCAAATATAACGCCCAGGGCGTTCTATTCGAATATAACACCCGGGCGAAAGGGGCATTCCATTCAAAGGAAGAAAATAAAACAAAAAAAAAATCTGCTTTTTTTTTAGGGTAAGTTGAATATAACACCCGGGCGTTATTTTCGGGTGAAGATGGTAGTGGAGAACGGGCCAGAGTTAAAAAAAAAAAAAAAAAAAAAAAAAAAAAAAAAAGCAGTGACAACAGCAGCTATTCCCAGCTACAGAGGAGGGAGCTGCCAATATCACTTTATGTCCCTATAGCAAAAGAAGCTCAATATTGTAAAGAGCAGCAGCAATGGAAGAGGGGACAATACCAGTACACTGAAGCTACCTTCTTCCCCCGAATACAACGTACGGTCATTATAGCTGTGTTTGGAATATCTTTCAGTCCAAATACAGCTATAGTGACCGTACGTTGTCTTCGGCGGAAGAAGGTCGTGGTGGAAAGAGCAGCTACCATAGCCACAAGAGCAGCTGCCATGGCAGCAGCACTGGCGGCAGGAACATCAGCAGTCATGACAGCAGTGGCAGAATCGTGGCAACAGAGATCACAGCAGTGTGTACAGCAGCCTCCATAGCCACAACATCAGCAGCTGTGGGAGCAGCACTCTCAGGAGGAACAGAAGCAGGCGTGACAGAAGTGCCAGAATGGCACCTACAGTGACAATAGGCAATGGGCAGCAGCAGTGACAACGGTGCTGCTGATGGCAGCCAAGGCGGCAAGATCGAAATCTGCAGTCAAGAAAAGGGGCAACAAATACAGAGATGAAACATGGTTCGGAGAGGAGGACAACGACGAGGAGGAGGACGACGACAAGGACATGGAGGAGGAGGAGGAGGAGGAGGACGAGGTGGGTGAGGAGGACGAGGTGGGTGAGGAGGACGAGGAGGAGGAAGAGGACGAGGTGGGTGAGGAGGACGAGGAGGAGGAAGAGGACGAGGAGGAGGAGAAGGAGGAGAATGAGAACGAGGAGGAGGAGGAGGAGGAGAATGAGAACGAGGAGGAGG